TTGACTCTGCGAGGATTTTCACTTGGGAATCCTCGCAGAGTCAACACCAGTAATTCTACCTCATCGTATTCTCTCTCGTGCGTCTCGTCTTCGACTCGATCACTTGACGACCGGCGCTCTGCCATTTAATATCGTATACTACATCTCTTCTACTGAGGACCTCGGCTCTCGGCGCTGCATCCCTCGCGCCATACCTCGCACCCTCTCGTAGTCCTTACAGTTTGACTCTGCCCCCAACGAGTCGAACCTCCTATTTGTTCGTTCATCAAACCTTCCCAATTTGGCAACTCCTGTCATTTGATCGGGCCCTTCGTCAGCGTTTTATCCTTCTGCTCTCTACCCCTCACCATGTCTCCAGACTCCAAGATGAACCTCGCGGAGTTCCGCGACCCTCTCACTGGCTGTCACGAGTTGGCATGGTGTTTAGCCGTTTTTTAATTTTTTCCTTTTCGCGGGCTCGAACCCGCGACCTCTGTACTACTTGCCTGATACAGATGCATCATATCTACTGTATGATTAGATTAGATGGGGCGGCAGTGCACGGCACAGCTCGGGCTCCACTGACACAGCCTCTCTGACTCACCGGCCCCTGGGGCCGCGTCAGCATGCTGCGCACGGACCAGCTGCGTACAGACCAGTGCGCACAGCCTCCCCTAAACTTCCCCTGTATATAAGCCGGCCTCTGCTGCCCTAGGGACCTCAGTTTCGACCTCTTGTCCCTAGGTCAGTAAGCTCCCATGTACTTACTTCCTTTTCTTTTCTAACTAATATATTCTTGTCCCTAGCCTTAGGTTTGAGCGCTGCTCACCATCGCTTCGGTGAGATTTAGTCAGACACCCCCAGCTCTTAGGTCTTCCCCTGTCGCTTGACCTCAAGTCACAACATTAGGTCAAAACTCCCATAGCGGCTGGCGTTCCTCGGAACCCATACACTCACACTTTCCTTTCCCATAGGTCGGGTGGTGCGCACCTTACGATACACTACAATACGTAGATAGCATACATACATCACCACTGCTTAGGGAACAAACCTTTCAACACCTGCACTTCAGTGGGCGGTGTTTGTCCTAACGGACGCGTGGTCTAGGTTCCTGCTGCATACTAGCCAAAAGCAGTACTGGGCCCCATGTAAATTGCAAACCCTAGCATTACTTCGGGCGCCGTAGGTGTAAGCTAATATAGCACGGCCTTTGTAGTACGCGCACCTCCCCGTCCTTCCCCCATCCATTGTGGCTGCCTGTCAAGGCCAGGTTCATGCCTTCGACTCGCAGGACCTCATCGACGTCTACATCCCAGATGGCCGTGAGACTGTCATCTACACTTGCGAGCAGCAGCCGTGCCCCAATGGAACACCCCAATCAGTCACGCAAGATTACCCGCGCTACAAGGCAATCAGAAGGGCCCAACATCTGCTTGGCCCTCGCAGCACCCTCGCATCTCGATCCACCTCGCGGCACTCTCACCCTGTCTCCCCCAGCTCCCGCTTTCCCCAAACTGTCACCAGACCCAGTCAAGCGCGAGGAGATCTCCCTTCAGACCCTGCGCCAGAGCCTGAGCCTGAGGAGAGTGCGAGTGAAGAAGGAGTCTCGGAGTCCGAGTCCGCGGATCCTGCTCAGCCCACCTCGCTGACAGTGCTCGCCCCCGCGTCAGCAGTCCCTAACGTACGTAACCCCTTCTCCAGGCTTCCTCCAGCGCCTCCAGTGCCGTCTCCGCTGCGAGGCCGCCCAAGCACTCGTTCCTCGCGAAGTTCGCCCGGCAGACAGTCACAACAGTCGCCTTCGTCCGCAGGCAGTCCTTCGTCCCTCTCGTCGCCGATAATGTCTTCTCCCGCTGCCGCACCTGACAAGGAGATGTTGAAGCTCCTTCTCCCCCTCCAATATGATGGAAAAACCGTCGTTGAGTGCAACCGCTTCGTCTCCTAGTTGCTCATCTACTGGGCGGTTAACACGACCCTCTCCACCATTGAGCTGAAGGTTCAGGTTGCCCTTAGCCTCCTCGATGGTGACACATGAGCCTGGGCCACTCCCATCTTTGCCCAGCTTGCCGCTGTCCAGATTGGGACTCAGGGAGCGACAACACCCTTCGCCAATGAAACAGCCTTCCTCACAGCATTCAGAGCCCGTTTCGGCAACCTCAACAATGCCGCCGTGGCACAGGTGGAGCTCACCAAGCTCTGTGCTGACAAAACCGTGCACGAGAAGCGCACTGCCTGTCACGACTTGGTACGGCGCCTAGCCGTTTTTTAATTTTTCCTTTTCACGGGCTCGAACCCACGACCTCTGTACTACCTGCCTGATATGAACACGTCGCTATCTACTGTACGATTAGATTAGATGGGGCGGCAGTGCACGGCACAGCTCGGGCTCCGCTGACACAGCCTGTCACGAGTTGGCACGGCGCCTAGCCGTTTTT